GGTGGGGGTGAACTTGCCATGGGGCGAAACTGGCAGCTACCAAATAAGTACGTGGCAGAAAATTGCTGCTCATTAGGATGCCAAAGGGTTGCAGGTTTGACACCTCTGCATGAATTCCACAGTAGTTTTGTGTAAAAAGAGCTTTTGTTACTTTTAACTTTCTCAAGCTGTTTTAATGTCTTTTTCAGCGTTCTCTCTTTAGGAACTTTCTAATGTATGGCTTTCATTTCCTTGTGTGGTTTCTTTGTGTGCGAGGAATCAAAGACACACAGGTACAGTTTGAGAGATACATGTATTTATGTAAGGGTTAGTTATTGTAGGGTATATGTGTGTAAAGCAGCAATTTCTTAGCCTGGACAAAGCAAAAGAAACTCATGCGTCAGTGACTTAGAAATTAGCAAAACCTCTTAAGATTAAGACGTGCCACAGCAGTTGTGACATACAACATTGTCAGTTCACTAGCCATACTCTTCAACTTTTACTGTAATTTTACTAACTCAAAGTTCTGGTCCCAGTTTGTTCAAAGGGTGGATAACGTTAGTCACTTCTGTTTAGTGTTGCAAAGTCAACCACCCTATCCAGTGGACAGAGATTTATCACTGGTGGATGATGGTGTCAATTCTTTGGGGGCCTGGTGTGTAGGCAGTTTACTAAATTATGGCACCATAATCAAAATTGTGACGGTTGTGATTTTAGCGGAGTGTATAGTAGAATACGGCCCACTAAATTGACCAATCTCAGCGCGCGTACTAACTGAGAGATATGATAAGGATAAAGCTTCACTACAACCTGATTTCACCACATGGTCCAATGTCATTATCCAAGACCTTTCTTAGTATTTGACATAGCCATTAGACCGGGTACTAGTTTAATAATGCTTTGACATTACGTGTCTGTTGTTTCAGTGTGGATTTAAGCTTTTCACAAGACCAGCGGCACTGTTAACGTTTTCTGCCCTGCATGTGGAGAGGTGGTGAGTTTTCAAGGGTTTACTTCTTACATTACATAGCAGAACCAGCGTTCAATTCATTGAATCAAATAACTACTTGAAATTACTACTTATGAGTGGATAACCACTGCTCTGGATCAAAAAATGTTCGAGTTGTCGAGGACAAAACCAATATGACAGAAATTAGGGAAAACTTATGTCTTCCGAGTTTTCAAAGGAATGCGGAATAAAACTACAATGCGGGCTTGAGTCAAGTGTTTAAGAACAAAGATTTGAAGCTTTATTGTCTAGTTTCCATGACTTTAGTTCTCAAAATCAACAGTCTACATACTGATAACAACCGTTACAATTTTAGATGGAAATAAGGGACAGAAAAAGGGGAAAATAAGTTTTGCTGTCTACCTGACTTCTTTGTCAAGTTCATATGTCGCAAGACAAGCTGAGTTAGATTGTGTATTCATACAAGTTGTAGGCAATAGTTTTTAATTCGCGAACCCAAAACTTTAAAACTAAACTATTACTATAAAAAAAATAAAAAAATAAAAACTTTGGCACTGCCTGTCTTTTCTCAGGGCCTTTGATGTAGAGTTGCTTTACATTGCACAGCAGTTAAAGATCACTCTTGCAGAAGTAGCCATCAACTGGAAAGAGATTGACGGTTTGTCTCAAGATAGTTGCCTTACATTCCATTTTCTTCAGTTCTAAAAATTTGTCGGTATATCAACAAATAGTTCAGCGCTATTGATCAGCCAGCATGGTGTGTCACTCAAAGTTAATGGAGGCTTTCCTTGGCTGTTATGTGTTTTCCCGCGCCTAGTTGTTACATGTTTTCCCGCGCTTGGCTGCTACGTGTTTTCCCGCGCTTGGCTGTTACGTTTTTTCCCGCGCTTGGCTGCTACGTGTTTTCCCGCGCTTGGCTGTTACGTGTTTTCCCGCGCTTGGCTGCTACGTGTTTTTCCGCGCATGGCTGTTGCGTGTTTTCCCACGCGTGGCTGTCACATGTTTTCCCGCGCTTATCTCCGATTGCATTAGTTCTGATTGGTGATTGTTTTGCTTGCATTTACTGCAATATGGCTAGAGTGGCTTGCATGGTTTTGGATTTGCGACAGTCAATAGAAAATTATGCTCGCCCCTAACGGACACAACTTCTCTGACATTCAATGTCTTCTTTTGAAGGTTCAAAGATGGTTCCATTTTGGAGTTGGTTACAGATGGGTAAAGATCTACTTCTCATTAATTTACGATATCTTGTTGGAGCTTGGAGAATCGAACCAATGAAGCTAAAGAGCCAATAAAATACGTAAATTATCAATATACAATGCAACCTTGAAGTAGCGCCGAAAATATCGGTTTTTGATGAAACGATACTCGTTTTTGATCGTTAACGTGACTAGAACTGGAGAAAGGACAGCCTCCGATGTTCTGAGCAATACACGACTCTTGTTACTGCGCAGCTTTATTTTTTACGGTTAGGCCTACCGTCCGCATTAGTAAGTCACGAAAACGGAGCTTTTCAAAAACGCTCTTTAAACCGGAGGAATTTCGAAACGGCGCCTTTTTGTTTTCGTGTGGATGGAAAACATTTTGGAAACGGAGCTTTTTGAAAACGATGACCTCGCGATACATGTGATTTCCCTGCCCAAGTTTTCCTCAAACACAAATCCAAACTGATCGGTGGTTATTGCGTTTTTAAATTCCTGCGATGCTGTGTGGACGGAAAACATTTGATGCGTTTTCAGACTGCAACCTCCGTTTCTAAATTCCCCCGGTGTAGTGTAAAAGGGGCCTCAGTCTGGGTTAAACAAACAAACGTGAATCATCGACGAGTATCTGGGATGAGTGTTCAATGAGAATTTCTCTTTCAACTCTCAGCAAGGGTGGGCCAAACGAGAGAAAAAAAACTCTCGACTTTTGTGATCGTAGGTTCGAATTCTCGAAGCGCGAGTTCGCACGAGGGTTTCAGGCCAAAGATCTCCGGTCAAATCTCTTTCCCGTTTATAGACTCGATTTCCGCCGCACACTCGAGTCCGGGAGAGGAGCGCAGGCTCTCTTGAACAGCAGCTGGTAATCGAGTCTATCCCGTTTAGCCCTAGACTGTTCACAGCCCTCTGTTCTCTCGTATTATCATTCGATCATTGAACGCGCGGATAGAATCGTGAGAGAACTGGACGCAAGCGCAAAACGGAAGACTTGAGTGGGTAGGGTGTGGGGATCTTGCTCGCTTCGCTCTCAAACTCAACCCCCCACCCCCGCGTTCTTCGCGCTCGCTTCGAGGCTGTGAACGGTCTAGTTTAGCCCAGGTTTTTATAAACAAGTTTTCTTAACGAACACCCTTGTACGACAGACGAAATTCATAGAACTAAGCGGATTAAGATTAATGTAATGTAAAAATCGATGTTGCGCTGTCTGACAATTTGGCCTCAAATTAAATTGAATCATTTTTTGCCGTGAATACCTAGCAAATTAAAATAATTACAATATAGTTTTCCTCTTAATTTATTTTTTACTAACTTTTTTAAGTCAACCACTTTTCTGAAGTGGTAGTGTACGGTTTGGGAAAAAATAAAAATGGAAGATCAAGGAAACAGAGATGTGTGAAAAATAAATATATTACTGTCATAAATAATAACTTTCATATGACGATTATTTGTCATAAATGCTCTGCTGTGTATTTGTTTCCTTCATTTGTGTTTGGTATTGGCAAGGTAAGTATTACAAATAATTATTTCTCGCGCAACTTTCTCTCCGTTGCACGAAAACTAATAGGCTTTCGAGGCGTTCAGGACAAATTTCTATATTTGGGTGGTGTTTAGTGCTCGTAAGCTGAACGGATTTTAGACTGCCGGAAAAAATGAAAGTAAATCTAAGAGAACAAGAATTTTGTTTTATATTTGGATGTTTCAGCAGTAGGTCTAAAAAAATTAATCACTTGAAGTTACATCGCGAATGTGCAACAAAGAGACTACCTGACCTCACGTCTACAATGAGCCCCCCTCCTGCGCACTTTTCAAAACGCCTCCTCCNCCCCACCCCCCACTGCGCTTTATCCCGCGTAAACAGGCTAACCGTATAACGCTAATTCAGGCTAGCCAGTCTGGCGCAAAACAGGGTTAGTAACGTCCGGGTTAAATTCTCGAAAATGGAAAAGGTAGCACGATGTAAGCCTGCACTTTGCACGTCTGCAGTCTACTTATTTTATCCTCACTCTGCACGTTACTGGGCTCTGCGTTTTCCCTGCGTTTTTCACTAACTGCCTTGGAAGTTGCCACCTTCCCATCAAACGTTGCGCCCCTGGACTCAAGACCGGAGATCTACATGTAATCTTCTCAGTAATAGACTCCTGTGTAAAAACCAAAATCACCCAAAAATGCTACAAATCCGCATCATAAATTGTATTGCTCATAATCCCGGGCACACCCCATTCTGGTATCTGATGTTTACGAAAGGGAAATACTGTAATACCCGAAATCTGCGAAATAACATGTTCTGCTTTGACAAACAAAACAGTCTAAACACATGCTATGGAACAATCACCGGCGGAAGAGGACGAGGGCATTGTTAATTTGAAAAGTAAACCAAAATGACAACTGAATCCAATCAATTCTGATGCGTGTAGATACGGTGATAATTCCACTCCAAAAAAACCAATCCTTCGCTGGGGTAATTTGCCTTTGGGGAATGCAAACGTTTTAAAACTATTCAATCGCTATATAAATGTAAACACTTCATTTTATCTCTTAATGCTGATTACAAATTACCCCGTTCTTAGATAACATAAATTAATCCCTTTGTATCAGATATTGGTCCGTGTTTCTTAACTTGCCGTCTTCTCAGTCTTTTAAAATCATTCTCAACTTTGTGGCGCCATCGCCACGGTGGGGCTGGTAAGTTTTTTTGTTTTCTTGTTCTTTGATTGAATAAACGAACCATTTAAAATTTCCGATAACGTAATGGCGTTGATGGTTAAGAATTTGCGGCACATATCCTTCAGTTGTTATTTTATTAGCTTTACTCTGACAGGCGGATGCGGCGCCGGAAGTAATTGTATGACAGTGCACCTCAGCTTCCGCTTCTACTCTTAGGAAACATTCTTTTGGTGAATTTCATGAATGAAACCTTTCAATGTATTCTTGAGTGTCTTGAGTGCTGCAAAACCTGCATGACAAAGAAATGAATCAAGTAACGTAGATAATTACATGATTCAGAGACACTACTTGCGAAACAAAGAAACTGCCGTTTGCCGTGCTGCCGTGATTTCGTGTGTACTCACTTACACTTTCCTTTGTGGGAGGGTGAAGAAAGATTCTAGCTGTGCTTAGTCTAGGGCACAGCTTAAAAAGTAAGCCACACCTATGAACAGATAAAGTGGCTGTTTTTCTTCAGTTCTGAATTTAGGATGGAAAATGTAAGAAAAACTCCGAAGGAAAATCTAATTTTTGATATTTACACAAAGAGACTTTCGTTACCTCCCCTCCCATCGAAAACGTTGCACTATTCTGTTGTCAGTTTGTCACGGTGTCAGACACTCAGACAGGATGTCGCCAGTAGAGTGACGTCACACCACCTCAAGGCTGCCTCTCAGAAGGAAGAACACAATTTGACTGAGAGAGAACAATTGTTTACGAATTTCGCTTACAGTTGTGTTTCTCTGGGTGGTGTTTTCGCGCTGTCTAGCAAACTGTTCAGGAGAACAAATCCAAGGCCAACATTTGCCGCCAGTGTGGCGCGATTGTTTATTCAGCAAACGCGACGACACAGAGGCGCCATCGAAACATTCGATAGTTCGAAGCGTGAGGTTCAGCCATATGTGCATGTTGCACGTTTCGGTGGTAAAACTCTCCCAACTGTCGCGCTAAGACATAATTCACGAGTTGTTTCATCGATTATCTAAACACCAGCGTGTGGCAGATTCGAAGCAGACTACCAAACAGGCGCGCTAACAAGGGAAATCTGACAAACCGGGCACCAAGATGACGACCATGGCTTCGTTGTTTTCCTTCACCCCTCCCGCCGTGAAAAGACTACTTGGCTGGAAGCAGGGCGACGAAGAAGAAAAGTGGGCTGAAAAGGCTATTGAGTCTTTAGTCAAGAAGCTTAAGAAGAAGAAAGGTGCTCTCGAAGAGCTAGAAAAAGCGCTTTCAAACCCGGGCCAGCCTTCCAAATGCGTTACCATTACTCGCAGTTTAGACGGGCGCCTTCAGGTCTCTCACAGAAAAGGTTTGCCGCATGTAATATACTGCCGCGTTTGGCGATGGCCTGATCTTCAAAGCCACCACGAGTTAAAGCCATTGGATTGCTGCGAGTATGCCTTTGGGCTAAAACAGAAAGAAGTCTGTATAAACCCTTATCACTACAGACGAGTGGAAAGCCCCGGTAAGTCGAGAAGACAGGCTTAGTGATTAGAAATGAAAGTCCCTCAAAGAACTAAATGTACTTAAGTGTCTCGTGATTTATACGCCATTTATTTTCTTTGTGCCATTCTTTTTTAACTTTAAACGTGATTAGCTCGTTTAAACAGATGAATTTGTTTGTATACTACGTTTAGAGAATAGTGAGGCTTGCTTAGGGAAACCTCGACCCTTTGGCACAATAGAAGAACATAAAACTTAATCTGTTTTCCATTCTTCTCTTCTCTTGTTAGTATTACCACCAGTTCTGGTTCCGCGACAAAGCGAATATCCGAGGCCTCCACCTCCACTGCCATCGCCATTTCGAAGCGTCGATGATCCTCCTATGCCCTACAATGCTTCTTTTCCGTTCAATCGGCAGAATCAGCTGGATCATAGTCCAAACAGCTTTGACATGCCAGGTGACGCAACGTGATTATTTATCTCAACTCTCTCTCTCCCTCCCTCAGATAAGCCGCATTTGAATTCATTTTTCCACAGGTACAATTTTAAATTCGGCATTTTTTTCTTGAGCATTTTTTCTATAAAGAAACAACATTTTTCGAAGTTGTTTAGTATTGCATGTACCTCGGTCACGTATCTTTGTATTACACCAAAGTGAAGTCAAAACACGTGGGTTTCCGTAAAAGCCGATATTTGGGGTTATGAGGGTTAGGGTGTAACAGGCAATCTTTAAGGAAAAACAACTTCGAAAGGTAAATTTATACCTTTGTACCTGTCACTCTGTTTGATTCAAAATTAACAAACCAAACAAAGTAATATAAAAAGAATATTTGAGAAATCTGACATGTACTCCCAACTGGTAACAACAGAGGTAAATACTGTGTATAGTTGATTGAATTTTGTCATGACGTTGTGTTGGATTTGTTGTATATATATACACTTTTGGATATCAGCATCACAAAATTCTGAAGATTGATATTCTCAAGCATGATGAAATGGTATTTTTGTGTTTCAGTTGCTTAGCAAGGCTTCCCTGCATCACTGCTAATTTTATTGCCTTCACGTGTAGCTTGGGAGCATAGGGTGGGGTGCCTTGTTAGTGCTTGCTTTCCGTAGTTTTAAAATTTAGCTGTGTTCCTCTGTTCCCTTAACCTCATCTTTCAAAACTCCAATTATTGGATCTGATATAGAGAGGAACATTCCCTGATGCAGCATGATTTCTCAGTCAATATAGTCAGTTGAGGACTTTTCAATATCAAGGCATGGCCAAATTGACTGGTGATGAAGAAGATATAGACAGTTGTCCACTAGGGCATATTGTCTTAATGTTCTCTCTCTATTCAGATTCTTCGAATTCATGTAAAAAAATAGTGTTTCAGTATTTGAAACGTGTGTCTGAAAAAAAGGCACTCAATCTTCAAGGACAAAAGAAGTAAAATAATATCTATTAGTGTTGATTATCCGCTCTCTGAGCACATCTGAAAATATCATTCCTGGATATGGGGCTTAGGACTACAAGCGATTCTTTGTTTTTAGGTGTTAAAAGCAGAAACTACCCGTACTCTTTTTTCCCTTGGGTGCATTCAAAAACTTTTTGCAAAAATGTTCTTCACTGCATTTTCCCATTCCATTAAATAATGTTCTTAAAAGCTGATGTTAAGGTCTAATTAACTTGTTGAACGATTTATTACAAGCTAATCACCAAGGAGCAGATTAAGGGGCACATTAAATCAAAATCCATAGGTTCCACCACGCTCATTCTGCTTCATTTGCCTAATTTTTTGTTACCCTCACTGAGAGCCTTTTCACAAGCAAACATTAGTTGGGCTGTGTTGTAGCAGGGAAAGTAGAATTTCTTATAACATGTCTTCTAATATGTGCTGATGTTTGATAACTGGTCACAGTTCATTTCCGCAATTTCTTTTTCACATTTTCAGTGATTAAAAAAGTTATAGTTTGCATCAAACTTGGTGTTCCCTGCTGCCATAGCTTATCCCAATGTCTGTATCATTAAGTGACTTCTCAATTGTAGGATTATTTCTATACCCCCCTCCCCCCCCCCCACCCAACCGCTGGATGGGATGTTAATCCATTGCAGGGTCCCCCCTAGCATTATATTTGCTGGGTAGAGAGAGAGGCACTGAGGGTAACATATTTTGCCCAAGAACACAATACAGTGACCCTGACTGGGGCAAGCACCTTGACACTCAGTCCAAAACCCAGGCTACTTACCATTAGGTTGAGTATGTGTCCGCATCCTATAACATACTGGATTTCTCTTGTAGATACACCCACTGGTTACATGTCTGAGGATGGTGGGTCCCCTCGCCCTGTCGACCCTAATGCCATGGATGTGGATTCTGTCAACTCTCCACCTGCAGTGTCCCCCCAGACAGGTGAGTGTAAAATAGGTGAATTTTGGCTACTTTCTTAAGTTCCATCTGTGTCGATTTAGGAATACTTGTCAAAGAGGAAGTATGTTCCACTATTCAAGGGAAATTACCTTTTGAATTGTACGTTTCATGCTTCAAGAGCATGCATGATGCAGCTTGGTACAAGTGCTTGGCTTCCGCAGTGCAATCCAAGGTAAATAAATTCCAACTGGGGCACCTGTGGATGGATTTAATTGAAAGGTTTTTCTTAGAGGCCCTCCAGAGCAGTTTTCCCCACTCCTGAGAAACTTACATTTCCAAATTCCATTTCAGTTTAGTGGAATGTCATATGTGAATTCTTAACTATCTTTAGCATATTCAAGCTTCTACAAGATCTACTACTAAAAGTTTAAGCTCTAAACAGATAGAATGAACCATTACTTATTTGAAACAGAGTTTATCACTACCACCAAATTTTAGGGTTTGAGAGGGGTGGGGGGGGAATCCTACATAAAAAATTCACTGGTGTAAAGTATTTTAATTGAGCCCTTGTTAGGTGCTTCAATTGCCTTTGTGGGTGTGACTTAAGTTCATAGAGATAACAAGAAGGTTGCATCTGGTTTAATTTCCCAGTTGTGATATGAATTTCTGGTTTCTTTTGAGTAGGGTTTTTTTGTGGCTGATAATTACATTGAGCGCACTTCCAAAGAATGGCCATTGGAGGTCTTCCCCTGGAAATTTGAAATTGAAATGCCATTCAGTGTTTTCTGGTGCAATTTAGGACTTCTTTCATTCGATAGAATCAATACCACAAATTTAAAGTAGGAAGTTTTGTAGTTACAACTGTGCCTTGTTGTCTTTGAAAGGAACTGTGATGCACTTGAGTCAACACAAGCTTTTTTAACTGTGGACTGCCAATAATTGAATTACCAGTATTTGCTGTCTTCTTTATACTTATTGTTTCATTTTTGTGATGTTTATTTTTGTTAGATTTAACCCATGTTACTCCAGTAAACTACCAGGAGCCATCTTCATGGTGTTCTATCTCCTATTATGAGCTGAATAACAGAGTTGGGGAGCAGTTTCAAGCCAACTGCACCAGTATCATTGTGGATGGATTCACTGATCCTAACACTGCAAACTCAGAGAGATTCTGTCTGGGTCTGTTAAGTAACGTCAATCGTAACTCAACCATTGAGAGCACCAGGCGGCACATTGGAAAAGGCGTGCATCTGTATTACGTTGGTGGAGAAGTTTACGCTGAATGCCTGAGTGATTCTGCCATTTTTGTTCAGAGTAGGAATTGTAACCACAGTCATCAGTTTCACCCTACAACAGTGTGTAAAATCCCTTCAAGCTGCACACTGAAAATTTTCAACAACCAGGAATTTGCACAGTTGCTTTCGCAGTCGGTCAATTATGGTTATGAGGCTGTGTACGAGTTGACCAAGATGTGTTCGATCCGTATGAGTTTCGTCAAGGGCTGGGGAGCTGAGTATCATCGGCAAGATGTTACTAGTACTCCATGCTGGATTGAAATCCACCTTCATGGTCCTCTTCAATGGCTTGATAAGGTGCTAATTCAAATGGGATCGCCACGGAATCCGATATCTTCAGTTTCATAAGGGAGACTTCAGTGCAGCGAGGCTTAGTTTTTGTTGCAACAATGCCAATTTCATTTGAGCTGATTGAGAGGTTATGGTTGACAAAGCATTCTGTAAAGTCAGACATTCAGGATTTCATGTTAAAAAGAAGTTTATGTTCATCTTCTGGCTATTTTGGTATGCAGAAATGCACTGGGGGCTCTAAGAGACTTGCAGTTCGATTTTAAAAACACTATTTTATAAAGTTAAGTTTACATGTAAAATGCAAGTGAAGTTCTATGTATTATACCATACATGTGAAGTTGAAACAAAATTATTTTCTGATTTGCCTACAGAAATATGGTTCTACTGTTGTAATATTACCCTAATATTGCTATAGCAAAATATTTTTAGTTTTAATATTTGTCAGTGTGCAATAAGCATCTTATTAAGTTTATACACTCTTGACTGCTTGAGATTTAAAGTGGTATCATTGTTAAGGAAACTGCTGGAGAAGATGAGAATGAAAATCGCTTTCAAATGCTCTTTAAGTGGACACACGACCATGCTTTCATGTTAGGTTGCAAATTGGGTCAACAGAAGGTTATTATTCTTAACTGGTCATTTTTGCTCATGGATGACGTAACATCCATGAGCTTAGGAGGCAGTCGCATGGCGCTCGTTCATTGTAGACAAAATTTTGTTATTAAAGGTTAAGGGTGAGTCATAAGATAGATGAGGTACACCAGGAATTGCCATCCTTTGCAGTTTCAGCTCTAGTCATTTTTACTTTTTTGCTATTTATGGCGTGTATTATTCCCTACTTATTAATTTGAAACAACATTTCTTACTGATTTGCCTACAGATATGTATGATTCTACTGTAATATTATGACTCTAATATTGTTACTGGAAAATATTTCATATATATACAAGGGCCTAAGTTAACAATTGAAGGGAAAACAGTGAATTACCTACAACATAAGGCTTAAGAGTACCTAGACTGAGGCCTTCCAAGTGGGGTAGCCATGCTGCCATGTTGCATCCTTTCATGCACCAATGTGGCCTAACTAGCAGAAGCAATTGTCGCTGTCAATTTTCTGTATGAAGTCATAAGTCGGTGTCGCTACAAGGTTGATTTTGTGAGAGTTTATTCAATGGAAAAGCACACATATTTCTGACATTTACAGGCTTTACAAGAGTCCAAAAATTCTAAAGGAGACAATGGCGCTGTCCTTTCTAGTTTCGTCGTCCAATTTTAGCAGTGCATTTAATTCGTTTGTTGCCAATTAGCAATTCCCACGCCGCTGGTTTTCAGGGTCATGTTGCTTGTCAATTTTACTCCTTCAAAGGCCTCTAGACTGTATTCATGTATGGCTAACAACATTTTTCTAGAAAATTAATACGTCTTCAAATTTTGCCTGAGTATATTTTTGAGAAATGTTTGTGTTTTAGTTTTAAAGGCTACAAAGTTTTGTCTTGTTCCACTCTGTGATTTTATTTTGTTTACATAAAAGCATGGCAAAGTTAACAAATGAGTATACTTCTTCGCTCCTCCCACTTCCGCCCTGTTTTTTTTTTTCCTGGTTGACAATTTGAAAGGAGGAGGAGCTATAAAATGGTCAAAAATGTTTTTGTATGACTTAAAGAAAGTTAAGTGTGAGGCTACTTTTATTAGTATTGTTTTTCCTTTTGTAAATTTTCCTTTGCTATTCCTTTGGCTGCAATTACAATATCATTTTGCTGATTTTTAGAAGCTTAAATCTTCCCACTAGGTAATGTTAAAGTGACTGAGTTTTGAAGAAAGTCAAATAGTTTTTGAACAACACATTGATTCAATATTAGGAAGTTACTATTTAACAAAGTTATTGGAAATAGTTAATTCTGATGTTAGTAATAACTTATTATTGTTGGGAATTTTATCTGAATGTATTTGCTTGTATCATAGCTCAGTAGTTTTCTGAGACAGTTTTAAACCTAGTTAGCTATTAGACAATTTTATTGGCTGCGTGTGTGAATGTTAACGGTCCTTTAACTGCAAAAGTCTTCCATGTTGAACATCTTTAAGTTTTGTAGATGAAATCCCATTGTCTAACTTAATGGAATCTTCTTAGTAGTTTGATCATTTGGTGCTGTTTGGTTTCTAAACTTGGACAAAAGCTCTTGTGAGTCCAAGGCTAAATATGGTGGCTATATTATGAATACAACCACTGTAGCAGATTTTTCAGGTTAGACATGATTTTGGTAGAAAAACTGAAGACTTCGTGAAAATAAGAAAAGACCTGGGCTTGGGACGTCAGAGTTTAATTTCCTGTAGATGTTTCTTGACAACCCTGCAAATTGTGTAGTCAGTTTTTTTTTCCAGCAACATTGCTTATTTCTAAGTAGCTAGTAACATTGGATGGAACTATTTAAAAGTGTGCAGTGTTATTAATGGCTTCTGTTACATTTATGCTGTATAAACAATGAAATAGAGCTTCTTTTATTTAGAGAGCAATAACTATTAGCAGGTGTTGCTAGTCTTTTAAGAGACAGTTTCAGTACTTTGTCATTTGTGACTTCCACTATTTGTTACTCTCTCATCCTTTGATAAATAGCTATAGGGTGTTAAGAAGAATAACAAACACGAAGGCAGCTGCAAATTCGTCTTACTTGCTTTCATTTTCCTGTGAGTCTTCACGATTTTCTGTTGCCTATGTACTGATGATGTAGGACTTGTACCTAATGACTGATGCAAGCCACGCCCATTTCATTCACTTCTGTTAATAGGTCAATGTTTTTGTTGTTAGTGGTCCTTAGTTCACAATAAAATATTAATAACCATGTCTCGTGTACTGATGATTTCGGGACAAACACGATCTTGATAACTGACAAGTGCAACCATGAAATTCCTTTATAACCCCCGCAACAACCCCTTGTCCAGCGGAACGGGAAAACGTCTTCGGCAACTGAATTTGTACACAACATCACAGGTCACCCAAGCGTAATATAAGAGTTTGTATGGAGAATTTTGGCTAAAATAGGAGAATTTGTTTGGAGATCACGAGTTGACATTAACTTCGTTTAATGTATGGTTAATTTACCGAAAAAAGGCTCTTGGACATTCAATGGTGTCATTTCTTCTCATCCTGGATAGTTACAACGAGATTTGAGCGAATTTTGAAAAATTTGTCCTATGGTGTTATAATAAGAGACTCTTACGCTTGGGTGACCTGTGACAACATGTGATAAGTTCAACGGCAGGAGCCTGTCAACGGTTGGTACTTTGTCCTTTTTTTCGTTTTTTCGTTTTTTTTTTTTTTTTTTTTGCGTTCCCTGGCCTGCGAAGACATACTTTCTACATCGCCCAGGGCGGCTAGGCGTTTCGACGCGCCTGTCTTCGAAGGCTTCTCATTCTCCTGATCTGTCAAATAACGTTTTATGATCCAAATAATATTTGCTGCCTAGCGACATATATTTCTTTTTAATCTCGTGGTTCCTANTTTTTTTTTTTGTTTTTTTTTTCTTTCTTTTTTTTTCCGATTACTTTCATATCAATGCTGGAGTTTGCCAGACATTTAAGGCGGTTTGTCGCCAGAAAGAAATTAAAGCCAGCTGTTGTCTAATGTGCAAATGTCATTGGTCATTGAGGCGTTATAATTTAAATTAGAGAATAGACTTAATTTTCGACGCCATCTTCACGGGTAGACAAAGCGGTCAGAAATTACAGTGTTTGTATGAGAATCCGATGGCAAATAACTTTTTGCAAAATCAAATTTTACACAAGTTGTGAATCGTAACATTAAAATACTAGGTATAAGATTGTATTCACCAAGTTTGAAGGATGTAGCTTGGCTAGAAGACGTTCAGTTAATTTTTCTAATTTTCCATACCTTTGTCTGTATTTTTTCCCGCGAACCGCATCTACCCAGCCAATTTTGCAGACAAATGTATGGAAAATTAGAAAAATTAACAGTATTTTAACGTTTCGATAAACAAATTGTGTAAAATTCATTTTTGGAAAAAGTTATTCCCATACAAACACTGTAATTTCTGGCCGCGGCTTTGCCTGCCCGTCAAGATGGCGTACATGTTTTAAGGCCTATCGATATGTCTGAAGGAAGTTGTTCCACACCGTGTTCCAGGATATGATCTTTTTTTAGTTGCTTTAAGTTCAAATTTAAGCAAATTGGGAGGGGCACTTTGCCTCCAAGGGAACAGCCCTGTCCCTACATCATTTTCGCTCCCTCCCCTCCCATCTATTTCGTCTAATCACCTTGGCGTCACCTGTCTGCCGATGTCCAAGGGAAGATCGAGTGACGAAGTATTTGTATGCGCAAAACTCACGGTTGTCTCGTGTTGTCTCTCCTTTGTCAGTAGGCAAGACCAAAGTATATGGCTGTGCGAAACAAACATCAGCGGGTAGACGATAGTATTTTCGGCAAACTGGGGCTAGCACAAAATCTCATTGGGTAGTGGTTTGTACCTTTCGAAGATGGCTAACATGTCTTCATTGTTTTCATTTACTCACCCCGCTGTGAAGAGACTCCTCGGTTGGAAACAGGGCGACGAAGAGGAAAAATGGGCTGAAATTGCTATTGCGTATTTATCCAAAAAGCTTAAGAAGAAGAAAGGTGCTTTAGAGGAGCTGGAAAAAGCGCTTTCAAACCCAGATCAGCCGTCGCAATGTGTAACACTCCCTCGCGGTACAGACGGACGCATTCAAATCCGTCACAGAAAAGGTCTACCACATGTAATATACTGCCG